TTATATATAATATTGATTTTTATATTAAATTATATATAATTTAACAAACATTATAGATTTTAATATTTGAATAATTTAATAATGCCAATGGTTAGATATCCTATAAAAAAAGAAAATACTTTCAACTAATTAAATCTTTCAAATTAAAGTACCACAAGTACAAACATATATTTCTACTACTCCTCCTCTTCGTTCTTCTCCTTCTCCAAAAAAAAAAGAAGCATAAATGTTACGTTATAATAACCCATCACCCTTTTCAAAAAAAACAAAATGAATTGCACCTGTAGCGTTTCATCTGGATCACCTCGTATCAATCTATCAAATCTTGCGATCAAATCTTCTCTCTCGGGATCTTTTTCTTCTTTTGGTTTCTCACGAATCGTCACTTCCGGTACCAGAACAGGTGCTTTGGTTGTTTCGTTGTCATCTTCCTAAGACGTTCGAAATTTATTTCTAACCGTTGGTATATATTTGATTGAAGAAAAAAAAAACAACCAAAAACAAACGATTCTTATGCCGGGCGACAGCTTATAAATTATATTTTTATCTGTGTGTGTTTTATTTTAAATTCATCTCGCGTAATCCTTAACATTTCATATATTTATTTATTTATCTAATATATTATTGATATGCATGAATTTAGCACGTGATTTAAAGCAACGAACTTGAGGGTGGTAAATGAAAATACGACGAAATAAAATTCGATTTAATACGATGTATCCGGTTAACGTTCACTTTGTCATCAATTATTGGATTTAGTATAGCGATTAAAGGCCAAAGTTCATCGTATACGTTATTTAAAAGCCGATAAACCTAACTCCTATAGATAAATCACATTTTATATTTCTCTATTTTGATCTCATTCATTTTTATCTCAATTTTGTTTTTTTTTTGTAAATCGATTACATTGATTTAAACCAAAAAAACAAGAAAAAAAGAAAAAGAAATAATTATAATAATAATAATAATAATATAAATCAGAGAGAAATAGAGAAATCTGTAATCGAAACGCAATTAATTTTCCTCGATCCTAAAAAAGGGTTACAACCGACTACTTTCAAATCGTACGTTCTAAATGGTCTTTAAAAAAATTCTACAAGTATATATATATATATATATATATATATATTAAATGAGAGTTCAATACAGTGTGATGTGGTTTGATGAAACAAGTTAGTAAAATATATGTTTGTCGTATCTGATATAAATAACCGATCAATAGTAATTTGACATGTTTGATATAGTTTTAGATGCTGTCGCCCGTTTATATTACTAGTTGGGGTTCTGATTACGTCTGTAACTTGTCATTATTGAGCAACCTGAAGCTTACGAGATCAAAATCGTCGTAAGTGAACGTGTAAAGATCAGCTACGAAACGGGAATCCTTTTTGTAATGTCTTCTCGACTTGTTGCTGCTACCCATATTGCGTTTTACTTTCTTTCTTCCTTGTGTTTTTTTTTTTTTTTTGGATCAATAATAAACTGCAATTTGTTATTATTCTCTTCTTATCGTTTACGATTTAACACGCACGTATTTTACGTATGTACTTTAAAGTGTAATAAATTTGTCCTCCCTTCGTGTCGTGTAACACAACACGCAATATGAAAAAAAAATAAAAATAAAAAACCATACACGAGATTAAGAAACGTGAAAGCTAGATAATTTAATAACGCGATACACTGATATCAATCGGAGTTTAGATAGAACTTTAACTGAACTTAACTTAACTTAACTGAACTGAACAATTAAATTAAACTAAACGAATCTAACTGAACTTGATCGAACTGAATTTTATTTTCTTCTTCTTCTTTTTTCGGTAGATGTATACTTTTTTCCAAATTTAAATACGAAATTAACACAGTGATAGTTGTTGTGCTGTTGCTGCTGCTGTTACTGTTACTGTTGCTGTTGCTGTTGCTGATGCTGTTGTTGGTGCTGGTTGGTATTTCTGTGTTAAATGTTGGAGAGTAGGTAACTGTCTAGGAGCGTCTAACGTCTGGCCAAGTCGTTCAGGATCCTTGGTGAAAGTGGTCGACACGGTTGACGCGACCGTGGCACTTGTGCTGTTGTTAGCTGTTTTATCCCATACTACTTTCGGTTCTTTACCTCATATTTTCGATTATTTTCTTCGTTAATTATATTCCCGCACTTCTCTCTTTTTTTTTTATTTTCCATTACTCACAAATACGACGACAACGTGAATTATAATTTATAATAAATTGTTTATATAACAATTTCATTTCTAATCATTGGTTACGATTGGTTACTTACATGGTTTTGTTTTTTTTGTTGCCCAAAAACTTTGCGAAATTTGTCTCGGAATAATTTTGAATGTGTTATGGGAATTCAATTTATTTATATTAAAATATATATTAGTATTGTTATTTATTTAAATATATTAGAGAGAAAAATCCTTTCCCCCCCCTGTTCTACCACTCCCTTTAATAATAATTATAATTGTCAAATTGTGTTAGTTAATTATTTGGTAAATTACTCGCCCGAGAATTATCTTTCTCGACTATGGAGAGATAGTTAAACAAAAGAATTCTAAATTGTCTTTGAAGTAGACGTTTTTACGTTTTGGTTGGTTGATCATGCGAATCCCTTGACCTATGTATCCCCATATACTTCTACTTTCGGCTAGTTTAGATATCTTTTCGTTTATCTACTTACATTGTTTCAAATTGATTCTACTAATAAAGATCCTTTTTTTTATTTGAGACATATACACACAATACTAATTAAAAAAAAAATAAACAATAAAAATACGGACAAGAAATAATATTTTCTTTAAATTGTATTCTTAATAAATTCAATTTCAATTTATTATTAATAATTTTGTTCATTCATGAAAATTAATTCAATAATATATATTAATTTGTCAAATTAGTATTTTTCTTTCTTTCTTTCTTTCTTTCTTTCTCTTAACTCATTTCCGTTTCCGTTTTCTCAAAATTAACATACAATCGTAGAGTTACACGTTAAATCGTGCATAATAAATTGAATCTCAATTAACGAGAACGTAAAATGAGATCATTATCGATGATTTTGTTGATTGTATTAAAACACGATTAGAAATTATATTTGAAACAAACAATTTTCAAAAGCTGATATATTTTTAATTGAAAACAAAAAAGGAAACATGATAAACGTTACACGATTAAATTATTATTATTATCATTATTATACTTCTTTATGTTATTCGCGTTTCTTCGTGAATATATTATTATATTTTCATTTTTGTGATAATAATAAACGTCATAATTTATCAACATTTCCTCTGACTGTATATATCTATGATTTCATTATATTATTTTCCGTGTATATGTTAAGTTGTTTAAATGAAAGATTAGATAACGAAATTGAGTCTGGGTTTTCGTAAATGTAAGTCCGTTCCTGACCAATGGCCTCGAGCGAAAGCCTACATGCATAAACGCCTACTCTTTATATATTTAAGCGTGTGACATACATATGTATATGTAAACAAACTTATATACATATATATATATACATGTATGCATGCATATTACCGATTGTAAGTTGAGTACAATGGAGTTAATGTTCAAATTTTTAATATACAAAAATATTTTTAACATTATTATCTTCTTGTTTGTTTTTTTATATAAATTTAACTCGTTAAACAATTTATAATATATAATAATAAAAAAAAAAACAAAAAATACTAGAGTATTATGTGTGTATTTAAATATATAAATAATGTTCAACAAAATTTCAACATATAACTCATTGTTTAAATCCAATATTTATCTTAAAAATACGAGGATGCATATCCGGTAAGAATGACAGCGTGACTGTAACACGATCCTTGACCCTTTTAAGACTAGAATATCTTTCAGGTATATTCATGAAAGAATAATAAGAGTAACGTGAATGATGATTTTTTTTTTTTTTTAAAGTAACAGGAAGAAAAATAAGTAACTGATCTTAAATGTGCCGCGTCTCGTGTCGTTTAAGAATGAAATGTTTCTTTTTGTGACGATCAACAAAGATATCCTTTATTTAAAAGATTCACGAAATGATTTGATAAATAATATAATCAAAAGACAACAACAAAAAATGTGCAATTAAAAAATATCGTTTCATTTGATATTTCATTAATTCGCTGCACGATTATTCGAGATACGTAATTCGAAATGAATTTTTTTTTTCAAATTAATTATATTAAATATATATATATCGTTTATTTGTAAAATTGTACGAGTGTGTGTGTGTGTGTGTGTGTGTGGTTTGTATTTATCGTTAAAAAATTTCAACTTACCCGTCGTTCTTCTTCACGTGCTGCTATTAAATGTGATTCGATCGCTTCCATGTCAATTTTTGGCATTGCCGTTTCGATATTGAACACGTCAAATCCACCTTGAAAAAAAGAAAGAAGAAAAAAGAAGAAAGTTATAGTTGAAACTTTGTAGAGAAATACTATTGCAATGCAAAACGTGGCACAGCTATGGTCGAACTAAATATAACGGGTCATATCGATTACTATCTGTGTATTCGTAAAAAAAAGGTGATCCGATCATTCGTTCAATTTCCTTTTTTTTTTTTTTTATTTTTCTTTCCTTCCCCCGTTTATAATTACTTTCGAGTATGTTTTATTTAAACCGACCATTCCAGGGAGATTATTTTAACGACGTTATTTCTTTTAATACGATAAACGATAAGAATAATCATCTCCGACTAATGGTGTTAACGTACAAAACGAATACGAAAAACGTATACGTGTTTTAAAATATAAAAAAAAAATAAATAAAATGACGGTAGGAACACAATTGTAAAAAAAAAATAAAATATATACCTTATGTAATAATACACATAATGTTAAACGCGTTACCTAGTGTGTAAAAGAAAAAAAGAAAAGAAAAGAAAAGTTATAGTCGCGCGTGTATGTGTGTGTTATTAGTTTCCAACTGAGTTACAAATTTCTTTCTACGCCATTTTTATTGTCTTTTTAGATTACGCTAATCTCGGTATATCCATAAAATAAGAAAATAACACATGGGTAACTCCTGAACGATTACTCATATCACTCACTCAGCTCTGACTGAGTTATTAATAATACAATTTATCAGAATGAAAATGATACCTGGACCGTTCTCGGTATCGGCCCTTCTTTTATCAGGCCGTCTTGAATTTGACGAACGAACTGGTTGCTGTTGTTGCTGTTGTTGTTGTTGTTGTTGTCTTCTTTTCGCTTGATTCCTTACCATTTTTTCTTTTTTTCTAGAATCGGCACTGGACGTATCAGAAAGATCACGATCTAGTAACTTATTAGTGTCTTCTGAGTGAGGATCCTTGAACAGGTTGCGATTACCGGATGCGGACCGTGATGAACCACGCGATGAACAACGTATGGTGTCAATTGACTCCATAGCTACCACGTCCGGTACCGATTGAACGTATTTTTCGAGATCGACACCGATATCTCGGCCGATACTCGAAAGAAGATCGATTTCTTCAAGTTTTGTATAAGTTGATGATTGTTCTTCCGTATAATTATCGCTATCGGTGTTAGTAGTTTCCGAGTCAACTGGTGAACCGTTCGATACTAATGTTGTTTCTGTTACTATTGGTATTGGTGTTGGTGTTGGTGTTGGTGTTGGTGTTGTCGTTGTTGCTTGGTTGCCTATTTTGGTGCGTTCGTTGCGAGGCAATTCCTTTGCCTCGCGTATGAGGTCGATGTGCTGTTGTTCCACCACGTTATCCTCCGTCTGCGAATAAATTCAAGATCAATAATATATATATATTAATATTTAATATTGATATGTTATTATTTATATTATTATATAAATTATATTATTAGATTTATATAAAAATATATAATTAT